TTTTTTGTCTTTTTTCGTGACCGGTAACGGGATCGCAACCCTCAGTGTCGCGCCCGTACCACGACCGGCAACGGGATCGTAACCCTCGGTGTTGCACCCGCACCGCGCTCGACCGGTGAGCGGACCGGTCTCTATATGGGATCTGAACCCTCGGCGGGAGCACCGCCACACTCCCAAGCGCCGCACTCTACCGAGTGCGCCACCGGGCCGGCCCTAAAATCCAGTTTTTTAAAAGTTGGTAACTATCATTTAAAGTTAAGAACATAGTGTTAGGACTTCTGGGTAGCTAAAGACCAAGGAGGTTGTATAATGAACAACTTCCCAAAATTTCCCCACATGACATGAAATAACTTCACATCTGAAAAAAATTGTATCAAAGCTATACCCTCATGTAATGAATGTATATTATATGAAGACAGAATGCCTCAAGTACTAAATAACTATGAGTGAAAGGAAAAAACCAAACACCACCCCGGCATCCCACACCTCTATCCCACCCCACTCCACCCCACCCTGGAGCTTTGTGGCAACCAAAATCAAACTGAGAAAAAATTAGAAGAAGGCAGAGAAAGAACACTAGTGAAGCATTAGTCCATTTTCTGTTGCTTATAACAGAATACCTGAAACTGAATGGATCATAAATGTACAAAGAAATACAATTTATTTCTTACGGTTTTGGAGGCTGGGGAGTCCAAGGTTCAGGGAACACATCTGATGAGAGCCACCTTCTTGGTGGGGAGTCTCAGCAGAGTCCTGTGGTGACCAGTGTGTCACATGGCAAGAATGGCACGAGCAAGAGAACTGACCTTCTCACTTGCCCTCCTTTTAAAGCCATCAGAGAAGATGGCAGAATAGATGGTCCCCAGTGTCACTCTCTCCAACAAATCAACGAATTTACAGCTATTAAAAAGCAACGACTGCCAAGCTGGGGCCACTGGAGCTCAGGGGAAAGAGAAGGAGAGACTTACGGAGTGCATAAGGCAGGAGAAGTCACGATGAGAGAAAGAAAGGACCACTCCTACCATTTCAAATCCCGGCTGCATTCAAGGCTGGCCTTGCTGAGCACACAGAGCAAGAGCTGGCAAAAGCCGCAGCTGTGCCCTTCATATGAAGTTGCTTGGAGGCAGCAGGGGAGAAGAGGGCATTGGTGGCTTCCAGGCCAGCAAGACCACTAACAGGGTTCCCGCGGACCCACATAGGAGTGAGGGGCCACAACAACTGAAAAAAGAAGCTGCTCAGAGGCCATTGAGTCATCACAAAGGACCAGAGCACAGCCTGTCCCATGGGAAGTGTTTGGAGCACGGGCAGTGGGGGAGACGGGCCACTGGGGGACCACTGGGGCACAGCAAGGACAGCTGATCTTCCCTCTAATAGCACAGGACCACTCAGTGGAGACTGGTCAGGAATATAGAACTGCAGGGGGGCAAGTTGCTGAAAAAGACTCACCAGAGTTCCTACACAGCCTGGTGTAAGGGACCTCCGAAGACCTGAAAGTACCTACAAAGTCAACCATTAAAACCTGAGCTGCACCAAAAGCCTTCCCCAGGGAATCAGCAGCAAAGCAGCAATTTAGCTCAACCACAGGGCTCAAGTGCTGGTCCCCACAGGGAGTTCCCCCATTTTAGAAGTAAGCAAAGGTCAACAAATTAGTTCCAGTGCAGAGTTTAAGTGGTGGGAATAGCAAATAATCCAACACAGAACTGAAAAAAAACAAAATACCCATAGACCAGAGACAAAGTGTGATATTAACTAGTAAAGGTCTAACACCACCAAAGAACACCTATAAAACCTAGGACTGGAAGCCCCCTGGGCCCCCAAGCCAGGGAGGGGGGAGGGTCAAGGGCCTCAGCCATGCCCCCTGACACCCACAGTCAGCCGAGCGACAACCACCAAGCCACCGGAGGAAACACCCTGGGCTCCTGAGCCAGAGCAGTGGGGTCTGAGGGCTTTGGCCACACCCCCCTGACATCTGCATTCAGCCCAGCAACAACAAACCCACCACTGGAAGCCTCCTGGTCTCCCCTGCAGGAATGAGGGGGATGACACGGACCTCAACCATGCCCCCCCTTCCTCCTCCCACCGTTTCCTTCCCCCTTTCCTTCTTCCCCTCTAACCAAAATGCTCTGCAACATCTTAGAATATAAAAACAGATGGAGCTGGGGACCAATCCCTCCTC